AGCTGGCAGAACCCAGAAAGAGAGAGCGAAAGAGAGGTCGCCTGCGTGTGGAGGTCAGAGTTCAAGCTTTCGCCTGCAAGAAAATCTTAATTATTTTAATTGCAATGCAATCATCAATGGCTGGGCACCCCGAATATAATGCCAGCCATTAAATTGTGAATGTGAATGTGAGCAAACAATCGCATTTCACGCAAAGCCGCCGCCGCCGTCGTCGTCGCTCGTTGACAGCTGCTGAAAAGTAGGCTATGGTAATTTTCATTTCCACTTATTTTTCTTTGTTTGTCCTGCGGCTCTTATCAAAAATAATGGCTGATTGTTTGCTGTGTTGGCTGAGCCCCAAGGCTGCGTGAATATGGCAAAATATTGGTGGAAAATATTTGCATAGACTACCCGTGGGGCGCCAGGTAATCCCCCCAAGGGTTCAGGTTCTTTGTTTGTGCTCATTAAATGAGTGGCCACTGGAATAAAATTAATGCTTAAAACTAAGCCTCGACCCAAGGATCCTGTGTCCCTAAATGTCCCACTGCTGCTAATCCGATAATCCTCTTAGGACGAAGCAAAAGTTCTCGACGTGACACATCACCTTTCAATTTGCATTTTAATTTATCCGTTTCATCTCTTGTTGGGTTTTGATTGCCCCGATTGATCGCCTCCAACTTAGTGTGAGTTGCAATTAGTGTTTTCAGAGTGACTGGTTAATTATGCAGTAATTGCACTTAATATGCATTTCCGCTGAATTGAGCTCGATTTGAGTTTCAATTGCCCTCAATTACGTATGTATATGGAGGACATGGTGATGAATCGCAAGGGGGAAGGCACACACATCGCAGTTAGTAGATGGAAAAACTGAGTTTAGTTCCAGGCGGAATACAAAAAAGTTGTCAGCTCAAATATTTACTAGTGTATGCATTGTTAAGGGACTTTGTTGGGACAACAGCATGACGGAAAATAGTCGCGTTTTCTGCTGAAAGTTTTTGGATAAAGAATGGTTTCGGAGCTAATCTTAGAGCTACAATTTTATAGCCTAATAGCTGTCATGTTTATATGTCGATTATATTTAAATATTTAGTAATACCTTAGTGGTACTTTAAAGTCTAGGTAAAATAGTATCTACAATCCAGTGAATCCAGTCTCATAACTCCATAAACCCCCCATCGAATAAACCTAAAATAAATATAAAACTCTGCTAAAAACTAAATACACATTCAGTCTCAATTCATTCAGAAATTCACAAGTGTTTTATTCCGCAACTTCAGGTATTTTTATATTTATATTTATATCTATATTGCTTTGTCCGTAAACAGACAAGGGGAAAAAGTTGCCCGACTGATAAACAATTTCATAAATTGTAAAGCTGATTTCGCTGTCAATACTCCCTACGAGCCCTACGAAAAAATAAACACACACACAAAAACCCTGGCAATCATTTGTTCCGTGCGGGACAAGTTGCAACCCAAATGGCTTGTGTTGCAACTACTGTAGTTTCTAAATAGAATTTTATTAAAATCGCTTGTTAAAAACTTTTGCACATTGAAAAAGTTGCAGCTATTCTGCTGTTTGTATTATTTTTTTTTTTTGCCTCCCCCTTGGGATTGTGGCAGGGCGGAAATTGGTTGGACAGCGGCGCATAAAGTACACAAAAATGTGCGTCAATAACAGGCAACATGCAACGTGGGAGGGCCACATCGGAACAAAAGCCAATCAAAAGTTTTCGAGGGCGAAAAAAGTAAAGTAAATACGTACATCCAATGCAATCGGCTGTGCATAGATTTAGCCACCAAGCCCTGCAATTACCCAATCACCCAAAACCCATCTAAAATCCCCGTCAGGAAACAGCCGGAGGAGTTAGTCCTTCCTCACCTAGGCACAGGGGGGAGGGTGCATATGGGGGCAGCTGTCAGAGATCCAGATCCCGCGATAAGTCGACATATTGGGGGAGGGGTGAGGGTGTCAGTGGGGCTAGAAAATACACAGATGAGGGCAACAGAATAGTGGCCATGAGTGGAAGAAGAGTTTAAGAAGTTGGAACAACTATTTTAAGTAAAAGAAAGCGGTTTTTATAATTTCTAAATATTATTTATTAAGCAGAGAAAAAGAATTTAAGGTTACAGATTTATTTAGCAGAAACTTTAAATACTTTGAGCTTATAGAAAGTAAGGTAAAATTACTTAAAATATTAAAAATAAATATATAAAATTAAGTAGAAGCCTTCCTTATTAATTTAGGATGAGTTTTCCTTAACTTTTCATTCCAAAATATTCTCCACAATTTATAAACTTACATATTACATTTTAATGATATTTTTGGAAGCCCTTTTTCCTACCAAATCGGCGTTCACTGTGGCTGGGCCCCCGAAGGTGTAGGCAGGCACCTTCGGGGAGCTGTTGGCAGACAAGTAGTTAGCATAAATTTGCCATAAATTCGCTAACAAGTGATTTGTGTTGTGTGCGCTGTAGCTTTTGGCCATAAATTAAGCGTCACTTTTTATTTTCCATACATACAAGTTGCCAGGGAAAGGGGGCGAAAAAAAAAGGTAAAATGTAAACAATTATCTGCGTGCCCGCAGCTGCAGCCGCAGGAGTCGCAGCAGCCATTGGAGATGCCACACATGCGTTTCGCAGGACAGACAACTGAGATTTATGCCCACATATAAAAAGAGTCCTGCCAAAAAAGGGAAAGGAATTCGCAGGCTTTTGATTAATTGCCGCCACATTTTACTCACCGCCCAATGGTTGCTGCCTCACTTGGCACCACTTTCCACACATCCTCCGCTCTCACACATTTTCTTCTCCGTTTTTTTCAAGCTTTGCCAGCTCGACTCTTGTGTTTTTCTTCTGGCTAGCTGCATGGTTTATTTGCAGACACGTAGCACTCGCAGTCGCAGTCCCTTTTGCCTTCATAAATATCATAAAAATCCTAAAAAAATATATATAGGGAGAGAAACATATATAGAGATGTGTGTCGTCGTCGTCGTTGGCGGCGGCTGGCGTCGTCTAGGAGCTGCGGGCCAAACCGGAATTTATGCGCAATTTATGCCCCACACTCGGATTTTACTGTTACAGATTGTATTGAATAGATATATGGAAAGATTTCGCTGGCATATGGTGGGGCGAAATCTTGATAATAAACGACTGCTTGCCATTCAATTGCAAATTTCCCCCCCGAACATTGAAATATTGTTTCTTTTTGTCCGAGCAAAAAACTGCAGGCGGGCACATTGTGTAGGGTTTCTCCTAAACTGAACTGAAAGTTCCCGGGAAATCGTGTCCCGGATTATGATATTTAGGAGAAGAGTGCTCGGGCTCGGAGTTGGGGCTGGTGCTCCCTCGACTCGCACCATTTTCCTTGCTGCTGCTGCGCCACATTGCGTATACGCCGCATTAAACATTTAAGCACGGAGACTGTAATTCGTTTTTATTGGCAAACGCAGCTGATTTAACAATTTCGCCGCCGTTCAACTTAATTTCAAGTTGCCTCGTGTCTTGTTCTCTCCCGTGTGTCCTCGCAGTTCGCATTTCGCATTTGTGGCAGTTTCAGTTTGAGTTTTTCGGAGTCCGGGCGCGCGCGTGTGTCAATATTTGTGGGGGAAAAGGAAAATGCTTGGGCAGGGCAACAAAGTTGAAAGTAAATGCTCCCCCCTCTCGCTACTTTTACTTCGTTATTCTTTATTTTTTGTTGGCCAATAAATAAAATCCTTATCAATTGAAAATTGATTGATACACGCGCTTAGGTGCTTGGGCCTGATCCTGCCAGGCAGTGCCAGCAGCAAAATCATCATCTTCGGCAGGCAATAACCCCATATGGACAGCTAATAGATGTGTTTTTGCCAAAGAAGGCACTGAGAGAAAATATTTTCATTATTTTTAAAAAGCTAGACAAATTTTTAGAATTTGTTTGAAGCTCTTTTAAATTATTTTAAATTTTCTTTTTAAACTTTTAGAAAAGTAGAACTTTTTAAAATTCAAAATAAATTGATTTTTAGTTTATTTACTTACTAATTTGTTATGTAAGGCCTTATTTACATTTAAAAAGCTATTTTTTTATTCAATTAGGAGTTATAAAAAAAATTATGTACTATTAAAAAATTTTCTGGAAATTTCCAGGGAGGTTTAAAAATATTTCATATTATTTATGATACATTTTTTAATCTTTTTAATATTTTGTTTAATTTTTTATTAAAGTAAAACTTTTCTAAACTCAAAATAAATGGTGTTTTAATTTATTTACTTGGGAATTTGTTGGGTAAGGCTTAATTTTAAATTAAATACACCATTTTCTTTCACTTTAAAGGTTCATTTTCCAACCAATTTTCCTCTCAGTGCCCCTGTGCGTGCCTTCATCATCTAGAAAAAAAAAATACAAAATAAGTGCGCAAAAAGTAGATGACGAAATGATTAATGGTCATTTAAGATTAGCTAAAGTCACATTCAGACACACTCAGCAGCTCGGGAGAAGGGCGAGGGGAAAATAGGAAAAAAATAAAAGGGGAAAAGGACGAGGACTTACAGCACACGCCCCCGATTTGTTCGAGGGGGCGGGACCCTCTCCCTTCTTTTTTTAGGTAGCTGCCCCGCCCATTTATTTGTTTGTTTGTCTATTTACAGTTAGGTAGCCAATTTGAACTTTGAACCTCGGATCAATCAATCTGCCATTATGTTTATTGTTGCTCTTGTAGTAATTCTTACACGTAATTGCTTTTTGATTTTTTTCCTCCTCGGAGTATCTGTGTATCTATGTATCTGTGTATCTGTGAGAGGGCCTTTTTTTTGAAAATTGCATCATCATCAAGTCGTTGTCATCGTCCTAGTCGCCCGGTCTTGATGGATTGGCAAACATTTGAACAAGACAGGACCCATCCTCAAGGTCCATCTTTGGCATATGTTAAAATATTCGGTAGGAAGTCCTTGAAGCGAATACCCATTGTATTTGGCTAATGGCGCCGCCGCCCTATCTCAACTCAATCTCTCATCCCACCCACACACACATTTCTCTATTTTTAGGTATCGTGGATACGCAAAAAGGATTATCATCTGCTTACGGTCGGCTTAACAACCTACAGCAGCGATGAGCGATTCAGTGCCACGCACTTGAAGCATTCCGAGGTGAGTCCTGGCCAAGTAATTTACATTGCTGATGGCCAAACAGGGGTTAAGGGAGAGTTAAGCAGCCAGAAAGAAGCCCAAGCTGATTGCATCGTCTCAGAGACCTGCATACGAAATTATATGCCAAACACTTGGAGGGAAATTTATGGCCAAAGAAATTATGTGAGAAATTTTTGAATTTTATAGATACAACATAAATTTAAAAAATATAAAAACCATTTGGAGAACAAATTTTATTAAGTAAATCATATTACATAAAGCCAGCATAACTTTTTTATCATTTACATAGTTAAATTATTATTTTTAATCTCTGAATTTCCTTCAGTTTCTCCCAGTGCACTCACCATCTTTGCTTTAGCCACGCTCCCTGGTTGAATATTTGCTGCATTGTGAGCTTTTCGCCTCCGGTCGGCCTCGAATTGCCGAGACGTGACAAAAATTCAGTGCGGAATATTGCAAAATATTTTCGCAACTGCAGCGCAGCAAATTGACTTCCAGGCGGAATGGCCAATGTCTACACCACGCTCCCAACCTTCCCCCTCGATGGTCTTTAATTCTAGCCTGTCCCCTCCCCTGTTTTCCTGGCCTATTTTTGCGGATTTCTCCATTTCGAATCTATTTTTCTGTTTCTGCTCTATCTTCTCATGTTGTTTTTTTGTGTCGCCTACAGGATTGGACACTGCAAATCAAATTCGTGCAGCTACGTGATGCCGGCGTCTATGAGTGCCAGGTGTCCACCCATCCGCCCACCTCGATTTTCCTGCACCTGAGTGTCGTCGGTAAGTAGAGGCCGGAATTGCCTCGGTAACGGTTACGTTCTCGTTTTTCTCGGTTTTTCGATCTATTTTCTATTTGTGTTTTTTTTTTTTGGCTAGCACTGGTGATTTTCTATAATTTCACGCCTTGATGGCTTTTCTGGCCGAAACAGAATAAACAAATGTTGGCCAAAAAGAGAGAGTCCACAGAATGAGTTCTGAGCCAGCCACATTTTTGTGTTACGTTCTCGGTGCGTTCAAGCTGAAATTAGAAATGTCCATATGCCAACAAAGGTGGAACGGGGCAGGAGAAGGAACAGGAGCAGACTTCGGCAAAAGGGGTCGTCGAAAAGGGGTAGCCAGCCTGGATGGGTTCTCATGTTCCCAACTCGGTTTCGGGCCAAATGGCAACGACTCAGCAAGTTCTCAACTCATCGCGCTGTCCTTGGCTAACTGACGCACATTATTCTGAATTTAACAAACAATTTACTTTGAATGTGCTGCGCCTAATGGCCTTTTCTGCTTCTTGCTCAGGCTTCTTGCCATTTTCGGCAAAAACAAAGCCACTTCGTTGGCCCACATACATACATGGAAACTGATGTGACAGCCCGGGCTACACATTTTCCTCTCAGCGATGCTGCTGCTGCTGGGCTGTCTGCCAGATGTATTTCATAAATTTTGGGGGCACTTTCGGCGGCTCTCAGTGAGCCAAATTGATAACTGTCAGGGATGGATGCTAACCGATTTAGTCACATGATAATAAAGGATTTGACTTTGACACGGTTTGACCCCAGGGAAGCTGAAAGCTAACCTTTGAACTGGGTCTTGAGAGGGGGAGATCTGAGGTTAAAATGGATTCAGTTTCGTTAATGCTAGACATTTTTTTTGGGAAATAAATGAGGTGTATTATAGTTAGTTAAAAGAAGCAAACAAGTTTGTATTTATGTATAAAAATATATACCTTTTGGAGCTGTATTAGTAATGATTTTCGGGGGTGTAATTGCTCTATAAAAATTGTATTGATATAAATCAACTTAAAGCCATCTAAAACGCATATCATTTATATTTTCTATTATATTTTCAAAACCTCTCCTGTAAAAATCGATTGGTTAGAAGCGCGTGCCGAAATCTCGGGACCCCCCATACGATATTTAACGCCAGGCTCAACGCTGCGACTGCAATGCCGCGTGGTCCAGAATACCGAGGCCTCTGAGTATATATTCTGGTATCATGACAACCGCATGATTAACTATGACATTGATCGGGGCATTAATGTGTCCACAGAGCCAGGTGAGTCCCCCTATCAGCCCTTCCCTGCAAACCCCCTTTATCATGGCCTTGCCTCCATTGCAGACTTTCAATCATCGGAGCTTACCATTCAGCGGACACGGCGCGAGCACTCGGGCAATTTCACCTGCGTGGCCAGCAACACGCAGCCGGCCAGCGTTTTGGTTCACATCTTCAAAGGTGAGTTGCAAACAAAAATTAAGAAGAAATGCTAAAAATTCTGGTTGGACACACACAAAAAATGCCACATAAATGTATTATTTTCACATAATAAAAAGCAAATATAATTGGTTGCAAATATTATGCAAAGGTTTTCTAAATAAATTTATAAACAAGGCTGAGCGTTTTTTTTTTTTGTTAAATGTAACAAACATCAACATTTTTGCATAATAAAATACAGATTTAATTATGCCAGAGCATAGTTTTAGGTTTGAATAATACAGATTTTAAACCTTAAAATTCCTCAATATATATATTTTCCTCAATTAAAAATACACATAAACGTTTTTTTGTTGTTTTTTCCCCTCACAGAAATTTCAATTATGTCCAACCAATGAAATTAAAACTTTGAATAAACAAGATAACTGCTCATTTGCGAGCTTGCGAATATTTTTACATCTGTATCTCGGCAGCTGTATCTGTATCTGCATCCTGTATGTATATACCCCTGTATCCCCCGTATCCGGTAGCTCTTTCGCAGTTCATATATCAGCCTGCTCTGCTGGCTAAGAGCGAAAACAATAAAAGTAATTTATGAAAATTACACGGCCGCAAGCATGTGGATTAAAAATGCCCGCTCACGGTGTGCGGCGGCAGCCAGCCAGTGCCATTTGGCAGGCAAAACTGCCATTAAAGCCGGGCCATAAACACAGCGACAGGGAGAAGAAAGAGAAGGGAAACAAGCCAGGGAAAGAGACAGGAGCCGGCAGAGACTGCGACTAAAACAAAGAGTGGCCCACGTAGTTAGTGCTTGTCATAATTTATAAGTTTCTGGCGCGATGAAGCGACGACGCTCATTAGCATTTTGTTGGTTAAGCTCACATTTCGCTGCTGCTGCTCCTCCTGTGTCCTCCTGTGTGTGTTTGTTTAAGCTGTGTGTTTTTTTAATTAAATTTTTGTGCAAATTTCATTTTCATACTCACACCCAACCTCTGGTTTATTCTTTGCTTCCTTCCACAGGCGACCATCCGGCTGCCATGTATCATGGACATGTGGGCGGCTCCACGAAGACAATGCAGTCCCAGCTGCATATGATTATGATAATCATTGCCAGCGGCTATCGGATATTCCACACGAGTGTATATATGAAGATCGTGTAAATGTCATCAGCATGGAGCAGTGGGAACCCCCAAAAGGAGAAGACCTAATCTAACACTAACTTTAGTTATTTCTCTACTACTTACTAACGGCATCTCCCGACACATACATACATACATACATACGTACTACCATATACCCTAAGCAGGGGTATAACCTACAGCCTAAGCCAAAACTATCAGAATCAAACTTAAGAACTCGAATCTCTCTACATATGTTAAAACAGTCGACAGGTGTGCATGGGCTTTTTTGTGTAAGTGTGCCTGTGTGTGTGCGAGTGTTTGTGTTTCGTTAATGTATAAGTGCACATGTATTATATATATAAAAGGTAAACTTTGCAGACTACTAACAAAACTCAAGAGAGAGCGAGAGAGCGAGCCAGCGAGCTTTTATCCTTCAGATATTTTTCGTCAACTCAAGGATCTTTCGTGAAATCCTTGCGCGGTTTACCCCCAGCCCAGCTCAATGTTCAGAACTGACGTGCATTTCCAATCTAGAACTCATATTTTTACAAGTTAAGAACTTAGTTTCGAGGCGAGGGAGAGACACTCAATCATTCCGATCTTATTTTACGCAGCATTGTACAGACAACCACTTAACTGATTAAAATGGATTTAGCTAAAGGAATTTGGTTTTTTACCCCAAGAGAGCCCTGAGAATTAAGCTGTAAATAGATTATTTGTTAAACTAAAATTACATAAAAATAAACTACTACGGTTAAGTGAGTGTGGTTATTTGCAGGCGATGCAAAAAAATTAAGTTAAAGTCAGTTTGGCGAAAAGAAGTTGTTAATCAAAAAAGAAAACAAGAAAGGAAGAAAGGAAGAGCAAGCGAAAACGAAAACCAAACAAACAGAGTAATCAAAATAAACTAATTGTCTAACTTAAGGGATATTTAGCAATTTTTAATTAGTGGACATAACTTTTAACTGTCTTAGCAATGGCGACTAACTAAAAAGGAGCGTTTTGGGGTGAGAGAGATGGCCTCCAATGAGTGTGTGTAAATATCGCAGAAATGATTTCTAGCTTGTAAGTCTGTGTAGTTAAATGTAACGAAAATTAACAAAAAACCAAAAAGACAGAGAAAACCATCAAACGAAAACTGAAACAAATAAAACATAATAAAATTATGCAAAATATAAAACGAAAACAACCAAGCGAGTCTTTAACTTTAAGGTTTAAGGTGGCTTTCATTTCAGTTCATTTCATTGCCTGCGCTCCTTGAGCCAAGGATTCCTCGTCTTGAGTTAATAAAACCAAAGTGTATGGCTGGAAAATAACGCTGCGATGGCCCTGACGATGACGATGACGAAGATGAAGATGAAGTTGATGGCCTTCATCCGGGCGACACTTGATATGCCTGTCCTTCGCCTCGGATTTCTGCAAATGCATCCCCCCCGTCTGGGTAATTAAGTTTTAAATTGCCCCACTTTCCACCGCAGGAAACTTGCTCCGCTCAATGGAACTTTGATTTGTTGCTAATTCCATTTTTGTTGAATTGCGAAACCGAGTTTAATGAACTGTCCGGGCCATGGCTCAGTTCTAAACTTGGCTTAAACAATGGGCAACGAGGGGAAAGTGCAACTGCAATCCAATTTGATGGTTATGCTAACCGCATTCGAACGAGCAAACTCGCACACAAATCCAAACATGGACACAGTAAAACCCAAAAAGCAGATTGGGCCAACACAGTTGGCCAGTGTGCCAATGGCCAAGTGGCTAAAACAATAACAAAAACATGAAACAAAAACAGGCAAACAAAACACAAAACAAAGACAAACCAAAGGCAACAGCAGCATCATCAAAAGTTGCCCACAAGAGGCAACAGTTTCTGCATACGACCATAAACACACCCTCAAATATATTGTTATTATGTGTTATATCAAAAGCCACTCCAGTCCCGCACATAGGGGGGCGTGGCAGCCGCTGCAGGCGTCCAAATAGAAAAGTCAACTCAGCAGCACACATCTTTCCGCTGGGAGTTGTTTTGAGCCAAGAGAAAAGCCTGGCAGGCATTCCATTTCACATTCATTTACTCAGCAAAGAGCCATAGAGAGTAACTCTGATGAAACATTACTGGGAGAAGCACTTGACTAGGTGGCTACAAAATTAGGAAAACTATTTATGGGAGTAGAAATAAATTCTTAGATAATAAGCAAGGTTTTTAATTGGTTTAAACAAGAGGAAAGGAATTTTTCTTTATAATCATAGCCTTGATTAAGGTATGTATATTGCTAAAATTATTGTTTGCAGGGGTTTAAAAATATATAAAACAAGAAAGAAAGCTAACTTTGGCCAGCCAAAGTTTGTATACTACTACTATAATATATCATAACTAAGCCAAAAATGCATTCATTTCGATTCGGAAAGCAGTTTTGTGTTAGTTTTTATTAATTTAAAAAAACTGCATACCAAATTTAAAATTTTAAGAAATCAAAATTTTTGGCCATTTTTGCTACTTTTAATGATGTAACCCCTTATCAAATTTTGCAAAAATGGCCAAAAAATCTATTTCTTTCGGACATGTCTAGAAAGATTCCCCTGTTGATGCTGATCAAGAATATATATGGTTTATGGGGTCGGAAATGATTCCATGACTTAGAAAAATATTATTTTGTATTATAAAATCTGATTTTTTATATTAAACAACTTCTTGATTTTTTCTAAAATTAAAAATATCATAACTCGGCCAAAAGAGCATTAATTTTAAATCGGAAAACTGTTCTGTGCTAGATTTTCTCCAGTTAATAAATCTGCATACTTTATTTAAAAATGTTGAAAATTCAATTTTTTATCAAAATCAAAAATTTTATAAAAATGGCCAAAAAATCGATTTCTTCCTGACAAGTCTAGAAAGATTCGCATGTTAATGCTGATCAAGAATATATATGTATACTTTATAGGGTCGGAAACGTCTCCTTCACTGAAATTATAATACCCTGCAAGGGTATAATCAGTGTACTTTTCTACATTAAAACAAGTTCTAATTAAATTACTGGAATTTATTTTCCACAAAATTCGTTCTCTTACACGCTTTTTAAGTCTTTGTAGATGAGCTTCAATTAAAAAACTAACTCGTTTGAATAAATATAACCCTGTTTCATTATATATTCCTAATTTTTCTTAACCCTAACTTACCAATAATTATCCAAAAAATCCCAAAAGTAAGCAATTTGGTAAAATAGATTTCCAGGAAGACTTCCCATCGATGATGCAAATCAAGGCAGTGCTTTTGTCTGCCACTAATTCCTTTTGACATTAAATATACATGCATTGCCCCCTTTTCAGTTTGGGGCCAGTCATTAAGTCATTCTCGACAGTGAATGGACCACTGAACAGTAAAGGCCAAGAGGGCCAACAGAAGAGCCAGGCCAAGTGAGGCGTGAATTTTGGCCACATCAACGCTCCCTCGAAAGGAGCAACCGAAAACGGGGCCTAAGGGAAATTTAACAAATGCAAAACGCATTATAACTGTATTTATGTGCAGGGAGTGTGTGAGCTGTTGTCGGTCAAATGCGCACACACAATGCGCATACGCCATGTAAGCCCGCTGGCTAAAGCCTGATGCCTGTCATAAAAATTCCAATTTAGTTTCCAATTGCTCGCCTTTAAGTGCTCCGCCATTCAAGCGAGTGTCCTTCCATATAAGGCTCTCTCTCTCTATGTGTGTGTGTGTGTGTGTGTGATGGCACTTTATAATAAACTTAACGACGCACAATTATGCTACAAGTTGGCAGTTTGGGACCGACGACAATGAATGCAGAGCCCAGCAATTTTCCCAGTCAGCCCAGCGTTACTCATACGCCCCGTTACCAGTGTCTCTCGTCAGGACCTCCTCGCTTTACATTTAGACGCGTCTTGTAATTCAAAATGACAGACACGTACAGCGGGAAAACGGCCTGTTGAAGCGCCCTGCCAATGGTTTTATTATCGCACACACCAGACCCAGAAATCGATAGCCATTGTAAAAGTGGCAGGCGAAGGACCTCTCAGAGCCATCACCATTCATTAGGGCATTAGTTTTGAGTGCATCGAGCACACTTCAAGCTCTGGACTCCAGACTCCTGCCTCCTGACTCCTCAATCCTGACACTCCTCCTGCTTCTTGCCTTAACCGTAGACCAATTTAATTGAACTGCATCGAGACGACCACAATTGAGAGTTTTTCACTTAGGTTTTCCAGCCACAAAATGTTGGCCAGTCTTACTGATTCGGAGATGTTCGAAAAATGTATAGAAATTGCTTTTCCAAAATTGGTAAATCATCAATTAAATTTTGATTAAATTGTGGTTAGAAGTTAGAAGGTAGCAAATTGCAAATCAATTACCTGAGCAGAGCCAAAAAGGTTTCAACTGCATTTCCCTAACCTTGCTAACCTGCTGCTTCACTCGGCAATCAAATCAAATTATGGCTGCCTCTTGAAAGCCTCTTTAAGTTGCACCGCTTACTGAATGCCCAATTACCGAAACTTTTACCAAAAAAGCACTTTAAGTTAACATCCCGCCAGCCATTAGCTCAAGGTCGTCGTGCTCCTTTGTGTGCGCATAATGGAAAACACTTATTTGCCCAACTTCTTACACACGCACACCCCACACCCTCCCTGAAAAACCAGCCCAAACTCACTCGGAATACTAAGCACACGCAGTTAGAGAGCGGCCGCAGATTAATCGAATGCGATTGAATATAGGTAGGCAAATACTCGTAGTACAAGCATTGCCTAGATCGAACAATTGCCAGGCTGGGGACCACTTCAAAACGAAATGGAAAAGTCACAGAAAGAAAGCTGGGAATATATCTTAAAGGAAATGTAAACAGGAAAAAAATTAGGGTAACTTTTGGGTTTAACAAAGGGAAAATAATGGTTGTATTCTTAAAGATACAAGAGGTTCTGGAAATACTTAAACAATTAAAGATTTTAAGGGTTTTATTTTTTAAGTAATTATTATTATTTTCTATTCATTAAAAAACCTTTAAGTCTTTACTTGTTACAGGATGTTTTTCTAAATTCAAAGGTTTCTGAAATAACGCTGAAATTTAGGCAAAGGAAAGACCCAAAAAATATTCTTTATAATTCTAAAAGTAAGAAATCTATGGTAAGTCCTGAATACATCCTTCTAATTACAGTCATTTAAGGCATTCGAAATAAATTATTTATTTAATTAAAAACAGAATACCTTAGGTATTTATCATACTATTATTACCAACCAACTTTCTCCTATTTCTTTTCCCAAAGTGTCATTTTGGCCAAAGTTTAGGACGCTTCGTTTAGGTCATCTCGAGTGTCCCTCGATGGCCATCAGCAGATGTTCGGGGCGTGGCCATATTCGAACTCATTACCGCCACACACAGATGAGTCTTATTTGCGCTTAGCATTCCCCACGCAGAACTCTTTGATGTAATGAGGGCCAATTAGGCCGGGCTTACAAGTGCAGGCGTCCGAATGGGTCTTGGTGGCCAAGGGGGTATGTTCCATCTGTTGCCAACATATTGAATTGTTATTGTTATGTTGCAGTTTTGTAGCCAATTACTTGAGCATGTCCTGGTGCTCTTTACTCCTTCTATGCGCTAAAATCTGTTTAGTTTTGCGTTTGTTTTCTGTGGGCAAACACAACGGGCCAATTATTGTGACAGGACATGGCCTGTTGCATGTTTTTGGCCGGGAAAAAAACCCAAAAAGAGTGTGCAATGGTAGAAGAGAAGAGAGATGCACAGAGGAAAATAAATCCAGGATAATTTGGGGTAAGAGTTCTATATTTTTTAGAATATTTAATAATTTAATTAGACTTCATTTTAGGTACTTTCTTTAACTAAACAATACCCTTTTCTATTATATTTTCCACACATATATAACCCTTTAAAAAATCTATTACATTCTTTATTTTATTATTCCTTTTTCAATTGAAATATCTTTATTTTATATTATTTTTTTTCCCAAGTGCGCCACACAAATTTATTTTTATACTTCTGGATTCCAGCCGCTTTGTTTGCGGCCTATAAACAAGTTGTGCCAAAGGCAGGAGCAGTAACAGAAAAGCTTTAAAAATAAATTAAATGCCATAAAACAAAAGGATTAGCTAGCTGGCATGTCATGGGAGGAGCAGGCCAAAGGGGGGCGCCATAAAC